TCTTGGGGCAATTGTGACAAATACGTCAAGAGCCGAGGATAGTGCCTGGCATGACAAAGCACCTGATGAATATTAGCAATTGTTATTCCTACATGCCAACCACTAGGTTGTGCCAGTCACTCTGCTTGGCCCAGCAGATGCAACAGGGACCAAAACACGGTTTGCTCCTGGAGCTTCCAGGGAGATAGACATTTAATCACATGTATGTGGGAGAGCAGCACGGTGTTCTGAGAAAAGGGAGTGAGGATGGAAATACTCAGAAAGTTTTCAAATCCCTCCCCCTCTCTGAGTTTGGTAGGAAGCCAAGGAAACAGAGTTTCTGTTAAGGCTTCAGGAATATAAAGGAATTACAAGGTGCTTGAGATTAAAAGAATGTAACAATGTATCCCCCAAGCAAGGGGGACTCCGTGGTATGGAACAGCTCGTTAATCATAGCCATGGAAGCCCATTAGTTTATAATATGGTATCCACATAACCTTTACAAAAATAGATGAAAATATAACTAGCATTCTGAATATACCTATAGTGTGACCTAATAGGTCCTACTTCAACAGTTTCTGGGTGCTGACCACCCCCTTAGCTTTACAATAAATGTATAAAAGTCATGGCTCTGCTGTATTCGGGGCTCAGACCTTTGGAAATCACTCCTCTGGGTCCGCTAGCGTAAAATAAACCTCCACCCTCCAAGACCTCCGAGTGCTGCTTGGTTCTTCCATCAGCGATCCAGCCCAGGTTTTCACGGTGGCCGGGAAAGGCTTTCCCTAAGGGACAGCACAGGAACTGGGTCTGAATTGTGAGTAGAGGTTACACCCAGGTGATGAGCAGTAAAGGGCTCTAGGCAAAAGGGATTGCACGTGTAATGTGCAAACATCCTGTGTCTGGAGGAAGCGTTAGAGCTGAAAGAAGGAGCCAGAGCAGAGCCCAAGGGGCATGTGAGGTGAGACGAGGCTGCAGGAGGGGATCAGGGCATTGCCAGCCTGGTGGAGATTTGAGTCTTTATGCATATGGAGAGAGTTCCTGCACTTGAAGCAAGAAAGCAGCTTCTGCTAGTATACATGGAGGGCCACACTCAGACCCATGACAAATTTTGTTCTTAAGGTTTAGGTTAGATGGACTCTCGCGTAGAGGTGAGGCGGTCAGGCTCTGCCTATATCAGCCCAGCCCACTCTCAGACCTTTACTGAGTCCTTTGCAATTTGCACTTAGCGTTCAGATCTCCCCTTTCCAGTTGAGGCAGCCTGTAGGAGCTCAAGTGAGTTCCCTAAAGCCATACAGCAAGCTCAAAGCAAGGACCCAATTCTCTTATTTTATGCCTCTTTTCCACCCAGCCATGTACAGTGACTGGCTGGTGACTTCTGAATGACCACTAATCTGAAGGACCCAAGAGGCAAGGACGGTGTGTGTCCTATTAGTGGCTCATCCCAGTGCCTGGCTTTTGTCAGAGCTCAATAAATGTACCCTGCGCAGAGAAAACCAACAGGTCTTGGGGGAACCTGTATTTCGACCCATCAGTGGGGACCTGATGAATCACTTTGGATTTTAATCTGGTTCTCCTCATAGCCAGTGTAACCTTTTTCTAGGTCAGGAGTCAGCAAAGTGTAGCCTGTGGAACAAATCTGGCCCGCTGTCTGTTCATGTGTTCTTGTAAATAAAGGTTGCTGCCGCACAGCCACAGCCATATGAACTATGGCTGTTTCCATGTTCAGTGGCAGAGTTGAATAGTTAGGACAGATCCCCAAAGTGAAAGCTTTGCTTTCTGGCCCTTTACAGAAAAAGCTCCCTCATCCTATTCTAGGGAATGAGTCTTAAGTTTGAACTCATTAATTAATGGTGAGGCAACCTTGGGTTAAATTAAACTCATTAATTTAAAAGTTTAGTTTGTGATGTTTGAGCAGGTTCCTAAAACCCTAGGCATGCAGAGAAAATCTTTAGAGATCTTTCATAGGCTGAAGAGCATTCAGAGAAGAGATGAGACTGGCCTCCTCCCTGGGGCCAGGAAGGCTTGAGAAACCATAATTAGGGCCCTCACAGCCTCCACAAGGAGGGACATGGACAAAAGCTGCAGATGTCCAGCCATCCTGAAATCTAAGGTGTCTGGAAAGTCCTTGCACCGTTTAACATCTGTTTCCTGATAATAACATTAACATCATTATATACATTTTTCTATTTAAAAATGTGAAGGAAAATATATTAAAAAGGAAAGGGCCACCCATAACTGTGCCACCCAGAGGTGAGCACTGTGAGCATTTCTTTCAGTCTGTCTTCCAAACACCCACACTCCGTTGAAAGTAAGCTGCTGATACACCTCTGTGCCCTGCTTTGCCACCCAGCAAGTGCTGTGTAAGCATTCAACATAAACACTTAATGCCTGCAACATATTCCGTCACGGGACAGGCTTCCCCAGTACGGGACTTGAATGTTTTTTCCCAACACTGTTCTTCAGTTAAACACCACTTCCATGTTTGGAGGCATGTTGGAGTCTTTTCTAGGTTCTGTGTGTTCAAGTGGAAACCTGCTCACTCTGAATACTTGCATCTCACAGGTGTTAGGTGTCATGAGATGTGTTTTCTTTCTGGTCTTCACACCAGCAACAGAAACTGGAATCTTCTTAGCAATGATTTCTCCTCTGCCAGGCAAGTGTAGCTGTGCAAGTCTTACCTTGAAATAGCTTACCTGCAGCTAAGTTAATCCCTTCCCTTACATGGAGCGCTTGCTGGTTACAGAGAAGATTGGCCTGCATGCCAGTCCTCAGCCAGCAGGGTCACTGGCCAGGGGTTGAGATCAAAGGCTTTTCTCTGGCTGCTTGGACGCAGCTTTGCCTCTTCCTCTGTGACCTTGTGCAAGGCACAGTCTCACTTTGAGCCTCAGTTTCCTCATCTCCAAAGACTGCTCTCAGCATTTTATGGTGATGGATGCACAGCATCTGCAATGTAGCATTTGTATTATGAGGCTTTGCAGGTGAGGAAACGGGTTGGAGAGAAGTGACTTACCCACCTGTCATACAACTCATGAGAAGCTAGTTTCCAGACCATCCAGCTCCTATCTTGTGAGTTGTCCCTTCATGGGCACTGCACCCAGATGGTTTGTTTTCAAACCTAAGGGACAAGGGATGGGCTTGTGGCAGATTTATCTTCCCCGGGCTGTGCCTGACACTCCTGGGAAGTGGCTTGTGACTGCCTCATGGTCAGGGAGGAAAGGACACACCTGGGGGGTGTGGGGCTCTGTATCTGCTCACTTCAGACCCCCTGGCCTGTCCTCCACCTCCATGCTGCAGGTGGGCCTCCAATACCCATTCGGAGTTTAATGAATGACCCACTGCCCTGGCCGCATGGTGACCGACTCATCCTAGTTTTAACGCCGTAGTCCTGCATCCCAGGGGCCTCTCAGTCGCAGGCAGACCAGGATGGTTAGTCACCCTCCGTATGGCTGAGGCACAGAGAACGCCTTGTCAGTGCCCAGCCTGACTCACTGGGTCTTTCCTCCTGCCAAGTCAGGCCCACCCCCTTCTCCACCCTGACAGGTGGGTGACTGGCCCCCTGGACGTTCCCCTCCAGCCCTCCCTCATGTCCCTCTGACTGGGCCTTCTGCATTCTCCCCAGTTCTTGGAGAACCTTCCATCTTTGGAAGCTTCCCATTTTACAGATACAGAACTGAGGCCTAGGTGGGGAGGCGGCCAGGGTCACACAGGGGGCCTGACAATGGGCCGGCCTTCCCTTTTCCTCTGTGTCTTGGAGATACTCCTGTTGGCTTCGGACCTGTGGGTCTGGTGATGGACTCTGGTTCAGGATGGGCTGGGTTTCAGGGTGAGGGGTTGGGACCCAAGGAAGTCCCTGGCAGGACTGTCTGCCTCCAGTGTGCTTGTGAACTCGGGCTGAAAGACCGAACTGGAATGCCTCTAAGTGGAGAGTATCCTCCTGCCCTGGCATGAGTCTGGTGGGAGTTTCTCAGCCCAGGCCCCTGAGGGCTGTATTTCAAAACCTGCTGGTCAGGAGTGGGAAGTTCTGACATTCTCACTTCCGCTCTGGGTGGGGGCCTCAGTTTCCTTGTCTGTACAGACTGGGTGAGTTTTTGGCCCCATCCATCTGTAGCTTCCTAAGGTGGCTGAGGTTCTGTCGTGAACACCCACTGGGTCTCTGGTTTTCATTTGAAATCAATCTTTATGGAAGGCAGGGCGTGACCCTTCTCTGCATATGTCCTGAGCCCCATTTTGTGCAAAGCCACAAGCCAGAGCCTGGCAGATGCCCCCTTCACTTCCTTGAGAGTTCTGTGCAGTCTTGGGCCTCCCAGCCTTTGCCCATGCTGTGCTCCCTGCCTGGGGTGCCTTTACCTTCCTGCGCTGCCCGCCCAGCCCAGCCCTACTCCCCTCCCCTCCGCAGGGGCTGTTACAACAGTCTGTTTACTTGTGTACTTGCAGGCTTCCCCACCAGATGAAGAGCTCTAGGAGGCCCAGAGCACAGAATCTCAGAGCATCTAGCGAACAAATCAGGATAGAAAAGTAAAAGAAGAAGGTCACGCCCTGGTGAAATTTGCCATCTCACTCCCCAGAGAGGTTCTCGATTACCGCCGAAAGGGCCCCGGGGCCCCTCGAGCGTGCGCTCCAGGAATGACTGCATTGGAGCTACAGACTTAGGCAAGGTCCGTTTCTGTTTTCTTCTCTGAACTTCTTCATGAACAAGAGTTCATAGCATCTTCCTTTGCATCTCTGCCACTCCCTACCTTCAAGGGCAGGGTGCCCTCCACCCTCACTTCCTGTCACCTGTGCAGTAATGCTGTGGCCTTTCTCAGGATGGGCCCCTCACCTACTCCTCCCCAGAACGTGTTCATGTGGTTCTCAGTGTTTGCATGGTTACTAGGATCCAGGGTGACATCAGTTCAGCAGGCCTTATCTCCCACTGCCCACCTCAGCTGGATCAACGTTGTCACCAAAGCTGTCACAAACAAGTGGGTGTGGGCCATCACGTGGCCCCGTCTGAGTAACCACATTCTAGCTTCCTTCTTTCATACACGGCCGTTGGGGGTTGGCGGGGTCTGGGACCACGGCAGGGGGTGCTACAGCAGTGCCTGGCAGTGTGGGCCAGGTCCTTACCTCTAAAGCAGAGAAGCCACTTCTCCTGGGCCCACGAGACAGCTGTCCCATGCTCTGCTGAGCTTGGTAAGTGCCAGCTTGCAAAACCGCAGGGAGTAGCTCCGGGGTGGGGTGTGGGGGTAGGCAAGGGACTAGCAGGCCTGCCTCATAGCCCAGCAGAACTGGGGACTGGCCCGAGGCAGGACCTGAGCTACAGGCCCTGCAGGAGGCAAACCAGAGCTCTGGGGCCCAGGACCAAGGGCTGCCTGGAGGTTGTGGCCTTGTTCTGCTATCTCTTCCAGATCCTGCTGTTCTTGACCCCCATCCTACCCTCCCTGTCAGGCCCGCCAGCAGCGGCTGGCATGGGGGCATTCTGAACTAGAAAAGTTGGAGAAATCAGGAGCATTTCCCTAACAATCGTTCCACGCTTCCTTTCCTGGTGGGAAACTGAGGCCCAGAGAGGTGAAGGGATTTGCTCAGAAGTGAAGCTGGGATTAGGTCCAGGCGATTCCAGGAAGGGGGAGGCGGTGCAGGCTGTGTCTTGAAGCGACATAGGCTGTGGACCCTTAAAAATACCGTTTCTCAGGCTATGTTCTTCACACATAAGATTTAGAACATGACATTTGTAGGTACCAAGTTATTAAATTATTAGAACTAGGATACTATTACTAGCAAAAGATAAAATAATCATAATTAGAATACTCTTACTGATTTGTATTTGGGGTGCTTTAGGGGCATAAAGGAGAATGGTAGGGGGCTGGTGGCAGAAGCGGTGCCCCCCTGCGCACACACACACACGCAGACAGTGATCAGGGGTGTGGGCGCCTGGAATTCTCTTCCTCCCTCCGGGACCCTCTTGGGTTTTCTCCCTTTCCCATCCCTGACTTTGAGCACCTCCAGGCCAGGCCTCCTGCGGGGCAGGGGGCTCAGGTGGTGACTCCCCTGGCCCCAGGCCCCAAGGTGGTTCCTCTGGGGCTTGTGGGTCACACCCTAAACGGTAGCTGCCTCCCTCACTGGGCTTGGCCATCAGCCAGTAGAGACGGAAACCCGGACGGTGGAAGGGGCTGGGCTGCTGGGCTGAGCGTCTCCTGGGAACCTCGGCCTGTCTGAGTAGGGCCTTCAGAGGGGCTCCGGGGTTATTGGCGACCCCCATGCCCACATTTTACAGATAAGAAAACCAAGGCTTAGAGAGGAAAAGCAGCTGCCCCAGTGGCGTGGCTGGCCGGTGGCCGGCTCAGGCGGACTGCGGTCCCGGCAGCTCACAGGAGCCTTGTGGGGCCCCACCGCTGAGCCCGGGCCGGAACAATGCCGGGGGCCCTGGGGCTAGGAGGAGATAGGATGACTGGTGTGTGAGTGTGTGCATGTGTGCTTCTCTGTCTGTCCGTCTGCCCAGATATGCTGACAGTTGTCAGTTGTTCACCTGAAACCAGGTGTAGGTCTCACAGACTTCATTTGCCTGGAGGACCTAACCTCCTCTGTACCAGGCCAGTCAACCTGGGACCCAACAGGTGAACGTTTTTTGATAAGGCAGGTGCAGAACAATTCTAGACATCACTATGGTTTGTGTTCCTGCCAAGGGCCCCAGAACATTAAACAGGCACATCTGTGGATCTAAATTTTCATGGGGGCCAGTGGTAATTAGGAAAATATGTCTGACAAGGTTCCTTGATGGGGGTAGGGCAGGTGACGAGAAACAGTTGGGAAGCGCAAGCTGACAAGCTCAGTACCAGAAGGCTGAAGATGGCAGGTCCTGGGCGGGGGGTGCTGCTTGCCCCGTGTCATTCACGGCGTCCCCCCCTGCAGGCCTGTCTGTCCTCCCTGCTTCTGACCTGCAGACAACGGGGGAGATGCGATGAGATATCGAAGATCTGGAAGGACCGGCCAGGGGACTCAGGCTTAACCGCGCAAGAGTGGTGCTGAGGGCACCCTTCATATTTATTGAGCAAATACATGTTAACAACAATAGAATTCTGTGTGGGGACTTACTAGACAACCATTAACTAACTCTAACCTTAATCCCTGGCAGTCTCCAGGCTCCTGGGGCCCAACGTCTTTCATGGTATTGAAACTTTAGCAAGGGCAGTTAGGTCACAGAAACTGTTTTGGTTTTGTTTGTTCTCTTCTTGATCACTTACCAGGAATTACAGGAAAAATAATCAAGTCATATATGATTATACGTTTGATTTCTATACTTAATTTATGTATTAATCCCACACAGGCCTCTCAGTGAGGCCTCAGGATGCCAGGCCTGCAGGCGCTGGGGATCCAGCAGGGACTCCACCCTCCAAAAGCAAGCAGTGCTTGAGCTCCAACGGGTAAATGTCATATGCCTGCTGTATGCCTGCCTGTCTGCTAAGCCCAGGACATGTAGCATGAGCAGCAAGATGTGTGTGGTTCCTGCCCTCTTGGGGTTTATGGGCCAATAGGAATGAATTTGTAGAAAGAAAAAAAACATTTTAAACAGTTTAAACAGTAGGAGTGACTAATCATGCCGGGGCAACCCAGGGCAGCTTCTTGGAGGAGGTGGTAATTGCCTTGGTCCTGGAGAATGGACATAGCCTTGTTCGTGGGTGATGTGGGACTGTGACTGTGAGGTCCACACCACCCAGGTTCAAGTTCCTGACCCTCTCTTACTGGCCGTGTGATTCTAGGCACCAAGTAGGCCTCAGTTTCCTCATCTCTCACCTGGGGCTAATTGGAGGAGATTGTGGGGCCAAAGTGAGCTAACAATTCATATATAGCTCTTAGAACTGTGCCTGGCACTTCGTCTACACTCAATACATGTGATGTATAGACCAGAGGAGGCTAAGGCTGTGCATGGTGCCCAGGATTAGAGGGCTCCCTGTCCAGCCCTCTCTAACTGTCAAGGTCAGGAGTGTGTCAGAACTGTCCCAGGGTGGGCATTTTTCAGGGATATGGCCCTCAGCACAGAATGACAATGACAACAGCTGGCCTTTATTGAATGCTTATTACAGGCTAAACACTCAACCTGGACCAGCTCGTTTCAACCCACAACCCTAGGAGGTATAGACGCTGGTGCTGTCCTTGTGCCCCGGACAAGGAATCAGTGGCTCAGAGTTCAGTTGCCCCCGGCCACACAGCCTGTAAGCCACAGAGCTGGGACAAGTTCTGCTTTGATGCTGGATTTAATTCTGAGTTGGGCCAAGGCCTGTCCTGTCTGCCAGGACTTAGACCTGCCCTGGAATGTGGGGGGCCCCTGGGCCTCAGTTTGAACTAACTTACTGATCTGGGGCCTCCTATTTGGCAGCTGCTCAACCCACACCCTGAGACACTGTCTTTTAGATCCCTAAGATTCCAAGCCCTTGAACGCTGGGACTCCTGGGGTCCAAGATCCTGAATGGGGGTCCCAGGCTTCTTGGAGCCCTGTGGGTGTCTTTCCTGAGCAGTCCAGGGTGGCCACACAGGTGCTCTCTGGAGCTGGGGTGTGTGCCCCCAGCAGCCTGCAGATCCGCACAGCCTGGGAGGGGCTTGGGGCGGAGGCAACCTGGTTCTAGGGTGCGAGGCAGGAAGGAGGTGGTGTTTGACTACTCCGGTAGGCAGGCAGCAGGACAAGTAGGATGTGGCAGCTCTTTGCCCCTCTCTCGGGCTGAGGGGTCCCGCTGCTGTGGAAAGGGACTGTTGTCCTGCCCTCTGAGGGGAGCGGAGGGGAAAGGGAGGGCCTAGGGGAAGTGACTTCACCACTCTGAGCCCTACTTCCCTAATGTGTGTAGTGGGAATCCTAGCAGCCAGTGCTGGAGGGAAGATGGTGGGGCCTCCCCCATATGATGAGAGAAGGAGCCAATCCATCCACCGCGGGGCTTCCTAATGCCTCTTCTTGCCCTAGTACCATAAATCTGTTTTGGCAAACATTGCAGCTGACACCCTACCAGCCACACCCAGCGCTTGCAGTCTGCTCCTCTGCTTGCTGCCTGTGTGTGCCTCGCAGCCACCCAACCTCGGGGTGCCAGGTCGTCTTCCTGTCAGTGGCTATTGCCTGGCTCAAGGCTGCTGTAGCCATGGTCCCTTTCCTGCAAAACCCACAGGGTGGCACTAGGCTGGGGTGACCAGCCGCCCCAGCTTTCCTGGGACTGAGGCACCAGGAGAGGTTTTTGGTGCCAATACTGGGAACATTTGGGATGTGCTTGTCACCTTAGACAGGCCCAGGCAGGGAGATAGGCACACCTCATCTTATTTTGACAGACAGGGAGGTCTCTGTTCTCACACAGAACCCCAACCTTCCCTAACTGCCCCCTTACCAGGAGGTAAGGGCGTCATGGCCATATCTGTACCTTCCCTGAGTTTGAGGTATCCCTTTCCTCTGCTCCTCTGTCTACAGCCCCAAACAGGGCCCCCAAATAAAATACCTCCTGATGGATGCTGGCATCAGGGACCTTCCGTGCAGCATCTCATCTGATTCTCAGGACCATTCTTTAAAGCAACGTCACCCAATTTACAGATGGGAAACTGAGGCTCAGGGTGGGTGAAGTGACAGGCTCAGTCACACAGCTGCTCAGAGGCCTCTCTCAGGGCACTGTAGGCACGGACGCACAGGAGGGGGCAGCCTGGGGAGAGAGTCCCCTGGGGGGACATGGCTGTGGCCCCCTCCGAAGCATCCTCCAGGCCGCAGGGGCCCCCACTCCCCAGCAGGTTGGGATTTTGTTTTTGCCCCACCCTGTCTGCTTCCAGGAAGTGGCTGAGGGCACCGCCTTCCAGGAACTGAGAACTGCTGGAATGGGGGCGGTAGGTGCATGTCTTTTCATAATTATGAAATACATCTCTGAGCTGGTGGCTTTGTCCTAAAGTCCCCTCCCCCAGGAAAGCAGGGCATCCCCTGTGTAAAGACGCTTTGCCTCCTGAAGGCAGTTGGGAGGCAAGGAGTGTGTGTGCATGTGCGTGTGTGTGTATGTGACACATTTATTAAGCACCTACAGTGAGCCTGGAACGTCTGAATCCATCACCTTGTTGCATTCTCTCAGCGTCCCTAGGTCATAGGAACTATTTGTTACTGCCATTTTACAGAAGAGAAAACCGAGGCCCAGAAAGGCCAAGCTCTGTGTCTAGGTCATACAGCTTGTAAGGGACGGAGCTGGGCTCAGACATCCCTTTGTCTGAACCCATAGTGTGCACTTTCAATCCTGTGCCTTGCAGGCCCTCAGGCCCTATGGGGCTGGCCTTTCTGGGTGGTGTGGCCTGCAAGGTCCTCCTTATTCTTACTCTGTCCTCCCTCTCCATCTGGGTTCCCCAGCCCAGCCACCAACATAGCAAGCTAGGCTCTCTTCCAAGCCTTTGCTCTTTCTGCCCCCTCTGCCAGGTCAGGTCTCTCCACGAAGCCTTCCTGAATCCTCACGGTGTTTGAATCTGCCACTCTCCAGCTGTGTGTCTTGGGCAGGTCCCTTTACCTCTCTGAGCCTCATCCCTCCTCAGTAAAATGAGGATAATAGTGAGGGCCAGATGTGTCTGGTGCAAGTATCATAAAGTTTAGTTTAAGAAATTATTTTAATATATGATTAGACTGGTAGTTTAGAAACCAGCGTAATTCTAACTAACATCTGAAGGAGTTCAGATCGAGCCTGGAAGCTGAGGGGCCTACGAGTAAGTTATAGTCACTCAAGGAATGATAAGCAACTGCTCTCTGCTCTGAATTATGTGAAGTATAAGGGAAGGTGCTGGAAATTATCCAGGCTCTGCCCCAGACACTGTGATTGGGATTGCACACTGATAAAGGGTTTTATGTCCAGGGAACCCAGGAATACCTAACTCCTGCCCCAGAACATAGCTGTCATTCACCAGAGGATTCTTAATGGCAAGATTCTGTATCCCACAAACACCAGCCAGTGCGAGGGGTAAGGGGAGAGAAAACAGGAAGCCCAAGTGAAGACCAATGAGATGGTCAAAAGTAGAGGCACCCCCCTTTCTGGCCACCAAATCGGGAGGCTGCAGGGTGAATCCAGAGAGGATGGCGGCTTTGCCCAGAGGCAAATGAGATGACTGTCAGCTTCCTGAGGGCAGGACTGGTCTGAAAAGATGTGAGTTTTCTCCTGGCCCCAGATAGTGCAGTTGATGGCTCCAGGCCCTTGAAGACTTATGGAATAGGTTTCCTGAAAGAACCAAAGTAGCTGTCCTTTGCTGGAGCTTGTGATAGGAGCAAAGTGCTGAGGGCTCTGCCAGCTTCACCTATCCCATCCTCAATAATCTACACAGAAAGTACTGTCATCCCAATTATGTAAGCGAGCCCACAGCCAAAGGGAACAAAAAGCTGAGACATGGAGAAAGGATGAGAACAACTGAGAATCTGTGGGACAGGTCAGGGCTGTGCATGGTGGGAGCCAAGAGAGGAGGGTAGAAGAGGGTCAGGATCAGACTCCAAGATGCCTCAGAAGTGTGAACAAGCAGCATTGTCCTGCAGACCTGTGGTCTCCACATTCTTTAGTTTATGGACTCTGTCACTAGGCAATATGTATGTACTGATCTAGATGAACTGTGTGTAGGTACTGCTCTACTCATGATATAAATATATGCAAAAATAGAAATTTAAAAAGGTGACATACAAGTTACTATAACCAAAAACTAGTATTTCCTTCTACACCCCAGTGGATTGTCTTGCCCACAATTAGAAAGTTTTAATCAAAAAGGATAGGGAGGCAAATAAAATTTCTATGCACTGAATAGAGGGGTTTGAAAGGCCCCCTGGGTGGATTTATTAGTGTTGATAAATAAAAATAGCTGCTATTTGCTGAGGGTCTACTGTATGTACACCAGGCACATACTGGGTTGTGAGGATGCTTAAACCTAAGTTCCTGTCCCAGACCAAACATACTCTCAGCTGTGACTGTCTAAGATTGCAGCTGTGGGTGCTTGGAAGGCCCTGGGGTGAAGCTGTCCTGATGTCCCCCCAAGCTGTCCTGATGTCCCCCCGTCTGTTTCCCTCCAGGTGCCATGCCTCTGCAACTCCTGCTGCTGACCCTGCTGGGCCCTGGCAGCAGCCTCCAGCTGTGGAGGGCCCCGGAGGATGGAGCCAAAGAGACCCCAGGTCTCCTGCTTGCCCGGAGCTGGGTCAAGGTGAACAGGGACTTTTACTCTGATATGAATGAAGACTATTTCATAGAAGGCACAGACCTTCCAGAAATATTTCAAAGTAGCCCTGCGTCTGTGACCCTGAGCCACAAGCTTCTGGCTGTGCTGGGAACCTTGGGGCAGAGGGATTCTGCAGGGCCTGGAACTCCTGAGCTAGCCACTCTGGCCACAGGGAACTCCACTGGCATAGATGCAGGGGGGACAGCTATAGAAAATTTGAGCACACAGCTGGCCACACGGGGAATTCCTTCCACACGAGGCCCTCTAACCAAAGAGCAGGTTATTGTAGCATCTCTTGTGATGGATACTCCATCAACAGACAGGGCTCCATCCACAGAACTGGCCACCATGGAGGCCCTGTCCATAGGATCAACAGACAGACAGGCCCTGTCTGTGGAACCAGCAACCACAGAGGTTACCACACAACCCACAGCCTCAGAGGCCCTGCCCATGGGATCCACTGTCATAGGGACCCTGTCCATGGGATCAGCAGCCACAGAGGCACTGACCACACAATCCACAGCCTCAGAGGCCCTGCCCATTGAATCCACTGTCGTGGGTACCCTGTCCATGGGACCAGCAGCCACAGAGGCACTGACCACACAACCTGCAGCCACAGAGGCCCTGCCCATGGAATCCACTGTCGTGGGGGCCCTGTCCCCAGAACCCGCAGCTACGGAGGCCCTGTCCAAAGAACCAGCTGCCACAACAGCCCCTTCCATGGAGCACACTGCCACAGAGGCACTGTCCACACAACCTGCAGCCACAGAGGCCCTGCCCATGGAATCCACTGTCATGGGGGCCCTGTCCAAAGAACCAGCTGCCACAACAGCCCCTTCCACGGAGCGCACTGCCACAGAGGCACTGTCCACAGGACCTCCTACTACAAGGGGCCTAGGCACACCCCTTCTCATGCCTTCTGATACTCACCACACCACCACTGTGAGAGCTGGAAGTTCATCTAATGTCTTCATCAACCAGCGGAAAAATCACCAGGACCTTTTCCCCTGGAGCTCTGCGGTCCCTAGCCCCACGGAGGACCTGGACCGCATCCCTGTGAAGCAGTGCCTGCTGGCCATCCTCATCCTGGCCCTCGTGGCCACCATCTTCCTTGTGTGCACCGTGGTGCTGGCTGTCCGCCTGTCCCGCAAGAACCACTCGTACCCTGTGCGCAGTTACTCCCCCACCGAGATGGTCTGTATCTCGTCCCTGCTGCCTGAGGGGGGCGAGGGGCCTGGTGCCATGGCCAATGGGGAACTGCCCAAAGCCAGGAGCCAGGGCCTAAAGGCAGGGCCTGGGCAGGGCCACGAGGGGGACGACCTCACCTTGCAGAGCTTCCTCCCTTAGCTCCCACTGCCCGTCTGCCTACAGGACCCTGGTCTCCACACTCCCGTGGGCCCGCCGGGCCACCACTGAGCACCCGGGCTCTGTTCCACATGTATGGGCTTCCTTGCAGCCCCCTAGGGATGGGATCTTCAGTGCAGGACCCCTGGCCACCCCACCCAGGACCACAGGGCCTAAAGGCAGGGCCTGGGCAGGGCCACGAGGGGGACGACCTCACCTTGCAGAGCTTCCTCCCTTAGCTCCCACTGCCCGTCTGCCTACAGGACCCTGGTCTCCACACTCCCGTGGGCCCGCCGGGCCACCACTGAGCACCCGGGCTCTGTTCCACATGTATGGGCTTCCTTGCAGCCCCCTAGGGATGGGATCTTCAGTGCAGGACCCCTGGCCACCCCACCCAGGACCGAGGGCAGTAAGGTCCTGTGGCCAAAGTGGGACTGGCAAGCCGAGCGGCCTGTCTTCCTCCTGCCTCTAGTGGAGGCCAGAGAGATCCCTGCCGCTGCCGCGTCCCCCATCCATCGGCGTTTCCTCGTGCCACCCCTGCGCTCCTCCCTTTCCTGGCTGCCAGAGCCCCACCCAACGCACCCAGGGGCCACTCAGAGCCTCTGCCCCCACAGTCCTTTTCTTCCAGTCGCTGTGGTTACCGCCCAGGAAGGGAGGCCTGAGCCATCTCCTGCCACTACCGCCTCTCCAGTATGGGGCAGCTTGGGTCTCGGCATCTCCCTGGGGAACCCAGGGTGCAGTCTCCGCCCAAGGGCAGGGGCCAGTGTGGAGTGCCAGGACTGTGTTTGGGACCATGTGGCCCAGCGAGCGTCCTTCCGGTGGCAGAGTAACCCAGTCCTGCAACCCAGCCTTCCTCTGTGCCCACATTCAGGGCAGTACGTGCAAGCAATAAATCCCTGAGGAACAGTGACGGCTGAATGTCTCAGGGTATCCAGGCGCCTCCTTCAGGCCGGAGTGGGTCGTTTGGTGCTCGCCTCCTCAGGGAGCCCCTCGCACGGGCCATGAGGCTGGCCTCAGGGTGGTCTCTCGGACTGTGGACTCATGTGACTACGTCCTTGGGTGGCCAGGGGAGGTTTCAGAGGGGGTATGGGGCTGGCCCTGAAGACAGCCTTATTCAACGCCCCCCATGAGCCAGTTCTGGCCTACAGAATAGTTCCCCCCAAATCTCAGACCAATACTCCCTCTAAACATTAGTGCCATCCTCCCCAGAAGCCCACCCTGACCTTTCCATTCCACATGGGGCCCGTCTCCTGTTTAACACCCAGTGCCCACTCCTCCCACGGGGCTAGAACGGCTGCAGCCTACTAGACTTGAAAGAACTCACAGGAGAACTGACTAGCTGTCCTTTAAAGTTTGGGACCAGCCAGCCTACTCTTAAATGACAAGACCATAAGTATTTGAGGCCATGTGATCTTTGTTGTAACTGTCGTCATAGCCAAATGCAGCAATTGACAACATGTCATAAATGAATGGGTTTGGCTGAGTTCTAATAAAACTTTATTTACAAACAGGTGGCAGGTGGGATTAGACTGTAGATGTGCTGACCCCTGATTCAAGTGTGACCAGATGCCTTGGTTTGCCTGGGGCTCTCCTGATTTTAGCACTGAAAGTCCCCTATTATGGGAAACTCATTAGCCCAGCGAATCAGAGAAGTCAGCTGCCCCATTGAACCAACACTTACCATGTGTGTGCATTACCACATTTGAGACCTATATTGACCCTGAGGGTCAGGTCAGAAAGCTGAGGCTTTGAGAATGGTCCACCCACAGTGACTGAGCCCAAATTCAAAGTCTTTTGCCTTCTATTGCTTTTAGTCACTTTAAGAAGGAAATTCCTGCTTGATAAGCTCACTGTTCTACCTTCTAAGAGAGGAATACAACTCATTTCAGAGAGACGGGTTTTCTTTTCTAGTAAATGCATCCAGTGGCTGCTCTGGGAGTGAAGGAACCCTCCACTTCAGGGTATGTCCTGCAGAGAAAGCTCAAAGGGAGGGATGAGTCCAGAGGTATTGGCTGCAGCTCCGGAGACAGGAGAGGAAGGGAAAAGGGCAGGAGGGGACATGGCAGGCCACGGAGCCGTGGGGACAGAGTCATGAGAGGTGGAGGATGTCTGCCCCTCCCCTGAACCTCTAGAGCAAATGTGAAACACAAAGTGTGTTGGTGGCAGTGCTGGAGGGAGAGCTGACCCTGGAGAACGTGGGCTTTTGCGTTAAGAGAAACATAAGCTCACGTCCCCTTGGGAGTGATGAGAAAAATCAGTTGGGGGTCTCCCCATCACAGAGTTGGGGACCCAGACGCTGAAGGACTTGGCGGTGGCATCTGAGCAGTATCCCCAGGGTCCTGTCATCCGGTCCTCCTGGGCAGGGAGCAGGTGTCCGCGTTCCCCTGAGGGTTTCTGGAGCTCCTCTGCTCAAGGACTCTGGGCAACCAAGCACCTCTGGTGTAGGATTCCAAGTCGCCATCAGCGTCAAGATGGATTCTGGAAGCAGCCACGAGGGGGCGCCCGCCACCAGCTCTTGCTGCCCTTGAAAGCCAGACGCTTCCGTCTATCCAGTTTGAAGATGGAGAAAGAGGTCTTGTTTAGCCAAGAACCAGCTGCAAACCGAGTGGGGTGCTGGGTACATATTTAACAACTGTCTCTGAGTGGATCTGTACCTGAGCCGTGATTCGTGATGCTTGCCAATTTCCTTGGTGTAAATACACCTATGGCCGATTTTTTTTTATTATTGAGGTATTATTGATATACACTCTTATGAAGGTTTCACATGATGAAAAAACAATGTGGTTACTACATTTACCCATATTACCAAGTCCTCACCCATATCCCAATGCAGGCACTGTCCATCAGTGTAGTAAGGTGGCCTATGGACGATTTTGAACAACCAGCCGTTTGCTAGTAGATACAACAAATGTAAATAATCTCAGGAGCACAGATAACAGTAGCATGTAGTAAAATGATTAGGAAGTGATGAGTTTTGAGTATTGAAGACCTTGGTTTTTAATATACTATGATTGAACTCACTAAACAACCAGCTTACAAAATTCTGAAAATTTGACAATTGCCTCTCAAGGACTGCTCTAGGCTGGCTCCTACATATCCGTGCCCTTTCCCTTTCCCTTGAACATCACCACCTGAATCGCCCCATTCATCCATTCAGGAAATATATCCTGAGCTCAAACATCTGCAGTCACACCATGAATCCCCTCAAACAGCCCAGGAAAGAGGAACTAGTATTCAGCCCATTTTACAGAAGAGGAAACTGAGGACCAGGGAGGTGAAGTCACCTGTTCTAGGTCAGGCATAAGCACTGGGATTGGAATCCAGGCTTGAATCAGAGAGTCATGCTTTTACCACTATGTCACACTGTCCGTAAGATCACAGCAGAGCTCTGGGGCAATACCCCTGCTGACCAGTCCTGGCATCTGGCAGTCCCCATTGTCACCCTTTGCAGTTCTTAGTTGCTGAGGCAAGGCATTGGTACTTGGAGGGGGACAGAGTTGAACCCACCTCCCCACTTGCAGAGAGCAGGACGCATCAAAGCTGGAGCCTAGGACAAAGGGAAATGGCTAGAGGCAAGGAGCTAGCATTTATTGGGCACTGACTGCAGGCCAAGCTCCATGCCAAGCAGTTTATCTGCAGGATCTCATTTACAGCTCACAACAATCCCTGAATCAAGTACAGTTATGATCCCACTTTACTGCTGGGGAAACGGAGGCTCAGAAAACTGGTTCACTTGCTCCAGAGGTTGCACTGCTAAGAACCCCGACTCTGCTGACTTCAGCTCTGGGACAGGGAAGGAAGGAGGGTAGACAGGAAATCAGGAAACGGGGGTCGGGGGGTGGCATGCTGAGTTTACTCTAGGTCCCTAGTGTCTTACGAGCTGGGGCTGCCAGCCCTGTGGGTGGTTCATCCAGTAGCTGATCTGGGAAGAGGTCCCCCAAATCTCCCTCCATATCTCACCCCCATCTGCCACGCAGGCAGTCCACATCACTTGAATTTTATGGCATGTCCACTCTGTGCCAGGTCCTGGGATGCCACATGGGCAGGACAGGCCTGGCAATGTCCTTTGGGGCTCACAGTCTAGAGGGAGAGAGAGACTCATGGAATGATCACCCAGAAAAACGTCAGATGGTGGCTGGGCCCACAGCCCCAAAGGAGAGGGGCTGCGGCTGTGAGCGCCAGAGCTTGGGGTGGGGTGGGGAGGAGGAGTCAGGAAATGTTTGACCCCGGAAGGAGGCAGACTTGTCCTGGGAGGTGGGTATAGGGAGAAGAACGTTCCAGGCATTGAGAAGAGTGTGGAGAGCAGAGGACAGCACTGGGAGGGGGACAAGGCTGGTGGCTGGAGGCGGCCAGAGGAGCTGCAGGAGGAGGGAGGGCCGGGTGGTGGTGAGGCGTCCTGGGCCAGAGCAGGGCTACAAGGAGGCGAGGAGGCGTGGAGGAAGGATAGGAGTGGGTGATGGATTGGAGCAGAGATGAAGAGAAGAAAGACGCCGGAATCTCAGGTTCCTTGTTGGGCAGCTGTCTTGATGCGGTGCCATCAGTAGAAGGATGGGTTGGGCGTTAGCCAGGCATCTCCAGGACCTGTTGTTCTCCAGGTGGAAGTGTCAGGAAGGCTGGAAAAGACGCTCCACATCATTCGCCACCAGGGAAACACAAATGCAAATGGAACAGAGGGCTGGGCATCTGCCTGGAGGATGCCCGAGCAGGTTGTAGCTGCAGGGCACCCCCACCGTGTGTCCTGTAGAGACCCAATCCGCCTTACCTTCAGTGGCTGCTCCCCTGCTCAGACACCATCAATGGCTCCCTGGTGCCCAAGTTGCAAAGGAGTTCCCAGCCTCATTACATGCTGCCCACGAACCTAAACATTTCGCTCTCCAGACAGACCGACCGCCTCGCTCCTCCTCACACGTGCTTCCTGCCTGGGGTCGCTGTCACCCCCTCCCACCCATAGCCTCCTTGCTCTCCAGGCCCTGAGACCATCTTGAGCTTTGGACCGATCCAGCCACACCTTGGGCCTCCTCCTTTGCTCGCCCTTCCTGTTGTCCCTCTGCCCCCAGCCCTGGGCACAGAGATCAGCCTGGCTGACCAGCAGAGACCTCCAGGTTACGCCTCCTCCACCCGGGGTCCCAACTGCTCCATCTGTGAAATGGGTGTTCATGTGTCTGCTCATGCCACTAAGTGGCCACTGTTCATGCATTGGGACCTCCCACCCTCCCACTTCGGTGAGAGCCACATGAGGCAGGGCTTGTGGACTTTCTATTCCCCAGAGGACTCAGGAAGGAGACAGTCACCCTGATGCCTGGTCCTGCCTCTGCTGTGCCTCTCTCAGCCTCCCAGTCGCCATCCCTAATACAGGGGGCACGGTCACAACACCCAGGGCACTGTGAGCAATAAGAATGCTGTCAACCATGGACCAATAGCCATGGAAGTGTAGTGGCAGCTCACTCTGGTGTGCTAATTGTGCACTCACTCTGTGCTGAACTCGTTGCTTGTATTTTCTCATTTGATCCTCACCCTGTGAGGTAGGCTCTACTTGGAACCCATTTTACAGATGAGCAAACTGAGGCTCAGAGAGGGCCAGCAGCTTGCCTGACCCCACAGCTTGAAGAATCACAGATCTCAGATGAGACGCCAAAGACTTTCTAGGGGCACTGGCTGCCAAAGGCTGGTTTCTTGAGGAGGGGCTGGGAACTCCCGAAATCTCCATGTCTCCAGGCCGCGCCCTGGGCCTGACCTCGGTCAGCTGCAGACAGAGCACAGTCCTCCCCAGAGGTTGTTCTTGCCCAGGCCATCCCCCCACAGAGGGGTGGGAGGTGCTGGGAGGCGGTCTCTGGGCTCTTCCCCGCACACTGTGCCACACAGTGCCACGGACTAGGGATGAGTGGTGCCAGAGGGACGCGGGGGCAGAGGCATCACCTCACTCCACCGCCCTGGACACAGCTCTGTGAGGCCTCAGGCATGCCACCACCCTCTTTTCCCTTCTGTAAAACAGGCGTATCTGTTAGCTCCCCACTGGAGGAACAGCTCCGAGGGGCAGGAGGCAGATCTGGAGGGAAGGGACTGAGATGGAGTGGCTGGTGGGGAGGGCACCCAGGAGGCAGCTTGAGATGGCAGCTTGGGAGAGAGAAGGCCTGGAGGCGGGCCTGTGGGAACATCCGCCCGCGGGTGGGACCTGAGGCTGTGGGTGGGGATGGGATTCCCCAGAACCTGTGAGCCATTTCCAATATGGTGCCCCTTTGTCACGGACCAGAGATGCTGTCCGTCCCCACACCGTGGGGCATTTTCTCGTCCACTGGGAGAAATGATGATACACAGCTGCTGTGTGACCCACTCTTTCCAGTGCATTTCACCATGTGTAGCTTAGCTGCACCTGGAGACAGTGAACAAAGGACCGGACCGCAGGGAGACGTTGTGTGAATTCAGGGCCCATGACTGGCCTTGAGGATGGCAGTCTCCCTGTCACTCAGCCTACCAGCGGGCGGAGTCGGGCAGAGCCCTGGCTGCCGGACT